AGATTTTATTTTTGTATCTGGAAAGAAGTTACTGAAAATTAATCATCCAAAATATGCTATAGCATGAGGAAAACAAAAACCAAGTACTCTAGAAATAGATCAACATACCAAATAGTCGAAAAAAATGTTCGGCTCCATATATGCACAAAGGAGGAGTGTTATCAGCGATCACTTGCTTGTACTGCTTACGTTCTTCTTTGTACAGGAGCATTGTCGGCAAAGATTTGTCGAAGTAACATCTGAGCCCGCTTATAATCTATACAACCATCTCATCAATTCTTCAACAATAGAAAGAAGTGTAGAATTGATTAAGAACTCCAAGTTAAAACATCTTATTCATACACATCAATGACAGTATCACATTGTCAGTTTTAACGTATTTTGTTCCATCTCAACAACACTTTTCAGTTTTTGCAATTACGTACTTCAAGCATTAGCACATATTATAAGCAAGTGCACAGGAGAAATGATCATAACAAAAATGGAAAAGAGAAAGAAAAAATAGATAGAGAAAATAATATGAAGCAAAGTTACCTTTCTTTCATGATGGAATGTGGCCATCCATTTTCATGTCTCTTGTGTACGGTTTTCTCACCTATGTCCACCAAAAGTATGCCACCCTCCATAGAGCCATGAGCCGCTGGAGTTGGGTCACGAGGTCGCCTCATAATACGATAATGGGCTTAGTCCACTTATCCACTTTGTACCAAAACAACAGGTGCACGTCGAAGACAATTATTTTATTACACCGTTGATCCATGTCTTGAACACTTGCAGGAAAATCACAAATGAAATTTAAGGGGACAGTAAGCTGGGAGCACCACGGACACTTCAGGAAAAATCGATACATATTCTAGACAAATTAATACGTATTCAGGAAAAGTTGAGTTCGTAAAAAGTGACCAACACAATTCTCCTCCAATAGAATAGAACTTCGTTCTGAACGAAAAAGGTTGTAAAGAGTGTTAATCATCAAGAACTCAAGTGGCTGAACCTACCAATACCAAAGAGTGAGTGGCTAAAATAGTTTTTTTGCAAATATTGATGGATATATAACACAAACTCAGAGAGGTCGGCCCGATTATTGCCCGCTTCTTCAGTCTGTAATTGTAGAGTGTAGACTCTCTCCATTATCGGCCCAGTGTGACCTAACCACATTTAGACACAATCTACAAAAAAAGTCACATTTAGACACAATCTACAAAAAGGAAAAAATAATTTTTTTAGCAAAAAGATAATTTTTGAGTTGGGTTTCACAGGATCTTACAGTTTTGACCTGAGATTTGTCACAACGGCATTGTGGCTTTCTGCCGGTGGCGAGAGCTCTTCTCGTCTGTGGATGAATCCGTTCTTGCAGTCGAAGCAGATGACGTCGAGGAAATCCCGTAGGGATTTGATAGCGATGCGTCTGTTGCAGCGGCAACACTATTGAGTGGAATCGATGCCCGATTCAGAATGGGATAGGGGTTCAGGCCGGGGAACTAAAGCTTTTCATTTGAGCCACACTCATGCTCAACGAACAAGCTAAAAATACACAATCAAAAAACAATTTACAACACCACAGAATCTTCACCAGGATAAAAATAAAAACATTTTGAGCTTGATTTTGCACTCTAAAAAACTCAAGTCGCAAAATTATGCGATAAAATATTGTATCGCCGGGACACCAAAGTCATGTCTCAAAACCAAACACCAATGTGCGAGAAATTCATAACAGAAAATAAAGTGGAAATCGAACCTCGCCGCCAATTTTTAGACTCGGTTGAAGATAAAGTATCGTCGGGACGCCGTCCATCACAGCCGGAACGTACATATTAACCATTGTTCCCGGTGTTGGTCATCCCTAAGCAAGTGCCGCAGGCGCGCCGTACACGCCACCGGTGCCTTCAATACCGTCAACCCTCTGCGTAATCAAAACCAACGAGCATAGTGAACTCCTTATCTCCTATGCGATTTCGTCTTTAATTCAGAAAGTGAACAAATTTGAACATACATGAGAAGAGAAACAGAAGGCGAGCAATGGGTTCAGGGCGAGGAACTGGTTGAAGGGATTTCGGGCATGGAGGAGGAAAAGACCGATCGTTGAGGAATTTCGGTCAGTCCGCGGAGATGAGGTTTTAGATTGGAGGTCATAACATGGTCCTTCTTCATTTTCATTTTAGTCGGTGTCTCTACTTAGTCGGTGTAGGTAGCGTGCGAGGAAAACTGGGAAAAGTGTGTGTCAGAGGCAGACGTGCAGGTCAGCACAAAAAAAAGTCATAGTTAATGACCACTGTACCACAAAAAGCACAACGAATTAAAATAAAAAAAATAAAAAAAATTTGCTTTTAACATTTCACAAAGGACAGTCTCAGTATTGAACATTTAAGTAATTGAACCCCCAAATGGACACTATTGAGTGCCAAAATTGTAAATATAAGAAGACACGTGTCGTCTTCTTAAGACCACTAAATGGGACACTTGTCACCATTTGAAGTGCACAAACTCCTTCATATATATATAAACTAGATTTGCTCACACGGCGGTCTAACACCCCGTGTAAAACCACAGTAAGAATTCGATAAAAGTACAGTAAAAATTTGAGATCTAACTTGGACCACCAGTGACCACTTCCATTGGCTTTTTAGGATGAGGAGTCAAAGAAAAGACGACTGAACAACTTCCAAAAAGTTACTATGTTGCCAAGTCATGCTCTTTGGTAGCTAATGAAAACAAAACAACCAAGTCAATAAACATATACTCAGAATCAATTATGTTTGTTCTTCATCCACTAATGATTATCCAAATTAATTTAACAAACATTAGAGAACATGCACACTTTCTAAACAGATAACTTCCTCTTAGATCTCGACAAAAAGACATGTGCATCAAAAATCCTCAATTTATGACCCAAAGCGTCACTGCAAGTGAATGAAAGTCCATGCCTTCTTGCAGAGTGTGAGCTCAAAATTCTAGCTGTGTTATTTTTGTTGCTTAATCTAACAGTAGACATGTGTCCAAATTGGGCAATATCT